TTGAAATGCCGCTCGACTACCTTCAGAATCACGCTCTAGGGTTGTAGAATGTAAGCTTTTGCGTTTATAAAATAATTACACTAAAGCATACGAATATTACAGAACAAAATCTCTTTACTAAAAACAAATACAATGCAACCAAGAGGGTACAGACATTTTTCTTTCGACAATTGTACACTGTTTCTTAAATCGAAACATTACTGTATCGATAAAATGAAGTCGTACATTGTTTTAAACGCCTTGTTGCCCATAGTTACAGTATACAGTGTCTGTATGGCTACTAAAAATGAAGTACGATATGCTCTGAGATGCACTAGGACTTAGATATTTAGATAAGCTTCCCTTAAACCTAATGATATGTAATGATGGCATGTAAAACCAACAAATTCTTTACGGAAACGAAATCGAATGCATCGGTCATTCTGGAGATGGCAGCTGAGGTTACTGCGTCCGGAGATTAATAAAAATCAATGGCATGTGAGGATTTATGATTTGGGATGACAAATGATACGTGGAGGGAGTCTATGATGCAGCTCCGAGATATATCAACACGATGCGAGGCCAATAGCCGACCAAGAGTTTTCCACTAGGCTTTATATAGCATGTGTATGCTAAGGACTAAAAACTCGCGCATATAATATTAAAGCCACTTTCCTACTTTCCATCCATCAGTAAGAACGAAAATTATGTAGCCTGCGCAATTACAAAGATGGTCATTTAAAAATTCAGGCTTTTCCCTAAAAATTGCATAGATAAATGAAAAGGACCTGATAAATAAAAATTATGCTTATTTCTAATTTTTAGCAAGAATAAATCGCAAAAGCGGCACCGAACGGATACAAGTATGGCAAAACTGGCACAGATTCAGGACTGAATTAATGTGTACCAAGCTAAATACTACCATGTCTTGATTTTATCTTACATATCTCAAAATCTGCATCAAGAGCAAAAACAATTTTCTTTCTCTACCTCTAAAGGGCACTCAACTTAGCGGAAGACGTCCCTTGCTCGACTTTGAGCTGTGTAGAAAGACGTCTCGGTCAGGCGCCTCTCAAAGTAGTGCGACATGAAAAGTAAGGTCAGGAGAGGGAGGAGCACATAAAATGAAGGTAATCCATCAATTTGTTGTCTGCATAATTTTTTTAAATTAGTGAGCTTAACATGTGATTGTGCGGCATTCGTGAATAATTAAACTTCACATTATGGGTCGTTCGAGTCAACGTACCGGAGTCGCAGGTAAGACATTTGTGAGACCGCAACAATCCACTAAGACATGTTTAATGTTTTCACTTATAGTATTGGCATGTGTAAAAATGAAGAATGGGTGAGTATTGTGTGTTGATTAAGTTGAAAGTTTCTACCTGCTTATCATAGGTGACCAAACTAGACGGGCTGCAAGCCGCTTTATAAAGCAAACGCAGTATAAGACACGCGCTGTGGCTGCGACGACCGTGCACTTAAGAGAACCAAGCCTTTTGAGCAGTCTATATGTAATAAAAGCATGCTTTTGTACAGAAGCAAATCACGACCATTTTTATAATGCCGACGTGATTAGCATTTTACAATTGCGGGTCTAATAGATTACCGATACTGTCTTTAATGCGTAGGCAAAAGATGCATCTAGCAGCGTTCAACTGTTCCTATAAAAGGGCTTTTCTCTCCACTGTCTCAAGTATCATGTTCACTGATAAGATGCAGCGAAGAGCCGTGAACTAAAGCTTTACTATAGATACGTCCAAATGGATTCTCGTTTGCGGGTTCCGTTCGATAGGTTGTAGGGCACGGTGGGCCGTAGTCTTTATTAACGCCATTAACGTATCATACGAGTTACCCGGGCATATATCTCTTCACAACATATTTCCGTCGGAAATGAAAGCATATCTATTATTAGTTCAGAATCACCACAAACCGCGCCTTAGTCAATTTCTGCCCTTTCGTTGAACATTGTCATGTACTAATGGTATTTTACTGATGCCAATTCTACTCTTGGCCACTGGCACCTTTATTTATTAGTTACATGACCATAATTATGCGTTGTACACATTGTATCGTCCTGAAGTTGTGCTGGTTATACGGCTGGCGCCGGTTTTACAATGTTTTTATCCGGTTGGTGCCTGTTTTGCAATTTACTCTTTTGATAAATGAAATTGCGATGCAGGCGGTTTTGATCAATGTATTTTTAGCAGTATGAGTATGTGATATTTTGTAGATATATTGTAGACGTAGATTGGCAAATGCTGGTGAGTGTGATGTAGCGGGTCAAGCTTCGTTTCATCGAAGGTCAGCTGTTAGTTTCAAATATTGATGAAACTACAGTAAATGCCTCAAGCCGACAGTGACAGTATCATTGTCAGCACTCATTTTATTTTGCGACCACTTAAGTCAATCATGCAAGAAAGATGCAAGTCTAGTCAAGAACCAAGTGCTTGAACTAAATGTTGGCTTATTAAAACTTATATCTGTAAAATAAAAAAATACTGAAGATTGGAAAATTCGATACATATGTAAAATTTACTACCGCCTTTGCTATTAAATTTAATGTTCCTGCGGACGTTTTGATGCAGTTGCTATGTTTGCCCTTCTCATGGCACAATTCACATTCTCAGCGGTTTAAAGCATCAATACATATTGAAAGAGATGACGGAATTACTGCGAGTCATCTTTATCACTCGCCCTTTCTGAACTTCTCAAAAACTATGTCCTGCTTGTTTTGGATAGATATTGACGAATCTCATTTTGAGCTCCATCAAAGCTTGGCTAAGCTGAAGCTGTGGTGTAAATTTTATACCTGTTCATCAAAAAATGTCCTTGAAAATTTTTTATTGAAAAGGCAACACAATACTACCGTCAGAGGCGTATTAATATAGGATAGAGAGCTCCGGAGCTCGACATCAAATTCAACTAATTCATTTCAAGAAACTTTAATAAGTCCTTTTGATTAGCGCTCCTTTTCTAGTAGTAAGCGACTAGTAAATGAGTTTTGTTTTGTGTGCTAAACTTTATGGCAGTAATGTCTTTGTAAGTTAAAAAATAATTGTTGATGTTAGTGATGTTCAAAGAGTTGAATACATTAAAGTAGACAAAGGATGATCCTTGCGGGCAATGCTGTCAAATACAAAAAGTGGTCGACATATAAGGTATTCACAATCAAGACAAATGTATTGGAAGGAGTTTCTAATGCTACCAAGATAAAAAAGTGACTAGATCCTCTAGCGATGTCTAGTTTAAAAAATTCACAATGGATGTGAAACGCGCTAGAACTTCGCTACTTTTAACAAAATGTTTCCAGTGTTTACTTTATAGCCCTTTGTTTGCCCTTCATTACGATTTATCCAAGACTTGCGAGTGTAAGCATTTCACACCTCACAGTCGCAATCAGTGGAAGCAAAAAGGGACATTTTTAGGAGGAAACATGCTATATTGCACTTAGTAAGTGTAAGTTACACATAACCGCATATATTTGAATGACAATAGACCAACAAATGAGTACGACTTATTTTTTCGGTATCAACATTGCGCGCACTTATTAATTAGTCGCCTTTCGGGCTTGCAATTAACCCTACAAAAATGGCCAACGAATGCCAGAATAATTACAATTTCAAAGTAAGCGTTGTTGGGCAAGGGGATAATTAGTAAACAGATAAAGGACGGCTTATATTTATCACTTATTATCGAAGTAGTATTAGCCTTTAGCTAAGACGTCCACAGGTTGTGTCACAAGCGTTACGCATCATGATGCAGTTCGACGTGGCGTAATTAAATTGCGGAACCATTTCATTTGCCCATGTTAGTAACAAGGGGGTGAATTATTTTTATAGTTAGTAATAGTAACGTAAAGTAAATGACATATACATTAACCTTTACCGAACGCCTTTCGCCCCCCTGGCTAAAGGCCTCACCAGTGGGTATCAATATACAAATAATTTGTTTTGATACACCTAGCTGCCTGGAACCTATTGTAATGCATGGATCCTTCAACAAATTTTGATAAATACTCTAGCGTAGTTCGGATCTTTAAAGTTTATACCAGTTCATCCTGCACTTCCTACTTGACCCTTAAACTTCATGAAATGTAGAACATATTAAAATTTATCCTCTGGTGATACACACTGCTTTATCCCGCTCACTGGACATACATAATTGAGACTGCCACGTACTTGCTGGACAACCTCGATGACACCGGGTAATCCAGATATTTCGGACCCCCCTGCATCCAGCATTGTGTCACACAATGACATATTGTAGCCTCATCATTATTAAAAGACGTTTCCATTGATTCTTGAAATCTGATATACCCCGCACGACTTGACTTGATATTCCTTTAAAAGCACTCACGCGTTCAGACTGTCTAGCGTTACCTACCTTGCTAAACATCATTTTTCCACAGAGCGCGCACCACCAACGATCTCCATAGTTAATCGTCCGGCACCTCAATCGTGCGTCAAACGCCTTTTCTTACAGAGTGTCCCTTGCAAGAGACGGTCCTTGTTGATTTGTCCGCAGCGAGCACTTGTTCTCATAACTCGATAGGTATTAAGATTGATTGAGTAAATTACTACTACATCCAAGGCCACATTACCGCATTAAATCAAGAGCTTCTATTTTTATGTTCCCTTTTCGGCATTGCCACCCCCTTAAACATAATGAAACAAACATTATGGTCAAATTATCTTTTTGTAGCCACATAGCCTACAATGTTAAGAAGCTTACTTTCTCTTATCGTTACACCCATTCCAGCATATTTAACGCTCATGTATTACTTTTCCTCACTATAGTTAGACTTTCTCGGTATAGAGGATGTTGTGAAAATAGAAGTGATATTTTTTTATCCTCCTACAAACAATGTTTCTTAGGTTTTCTACCATCGAACCATTTAACAAACCGATTTTGGCTGCATCTGCCTGCCTATAGTGGTCAGCCGAACTTCAACACACTCTTACCATCTTGCGTTTTCGCCAATACTCCTCCTAGGTCGTCGCACAATCGCTTACACTCGATTTCTACAGCTGATTGAACAGCTTTCGTAGTTCTGTAATCGGTGGCGCCGGCAATAATTTTGTCAGCAAGTCCGCCTTCGTATTGAGCGATTCCACAAACGTCGATTTTACGTTGTCCCTCCTCGCATAATCGCATATAAACTTCATGCGCACATCAACGTGCTTGACACTCGACATACTTCCTTCATTCTCCAGCTTTCTGATAGCAGCCTGGTTTTTTATGAACAATGACATTGGGGCACCCACTTTAAATTCAATCTTGCGCATTGACTCTCTCAGTCCTAGCAATTCTCGCCTAACATACGAGGCCGACGCGAACTCCGCCTCCATTGTCTATGGCGACACCCAGTCAGCTTTTTTTCACACCCACTGCACAATAGCACCGTACATGGTTAACACTCCGCCTGCGACAGACTTATGGTCAATCTTATCTGCCGTATAGTCCAATTCGCTCCAGCTCGCCAAATTGACCTTGCTTCCTTCAATTCATGGAACAAGCTTTTTGAGCTTAAGGTTCTCGGTCTCTTTTAAGTATCTTGCGACTCTCTTTGTCAGCTTCCAGTCAGTCATAGTAAGCTATTGAGTGCACCGCGTGGCCTCGTGCACTGCAAAACTAATATCCGGACGTGAAAATCTTGCATATAGAGTAAGCTCCTCACAAGCGACTAAAAGTCACGAATCGCTGGTTCACCTCTTTGTCTCGGTAACGCTGTTATTAGCACAAGATCATTTCCATTTCTTTAGCTTCTTCAGCAATAGGCACACGAACATCATTCACCTCCTTCAAACCATGATTCTCATGCATTTCTTTAATAGTCGCTTGCTATTCCACCGTGCACGTGTTTTCTTTCTCCAAAATAACTCACACACCAAGAAACTTGCGAACCCCGCCTAAATTTTTGATCGATAAACATGCCATCGCCTGGGAAACTGTTCTACCCTCCTCGGACTGGACGCTGTATCCAGTAAGTCGTCGACGTAAACGCCGACAAACGTCACATCGTCTCCCTGGTGCGTATTGTACAGGAACATATCGGTTAAATACTGCGTGAACCCTGCCTCCTCCAGCCTGGTGTGTAGCAGTTTGCTCCACAGGCGGCCCGCCTGCTTAAGCCCGTAGAGTGACTTCTTCATTTGTAGCGCTAAGTAAAATTTGCATTGTACGCCAAATTGTCGTAGAGTGCCATCTTAAATATTCATCCCCTGTATAATCGCCAAGTAGATGTTCAAGTGCTCTTCTTTATCAGCTTTCACGTAAGCGCTGGGAATTTCTTCGTGTATCGCCGGTACTCCCCAACGCAACGCAAGCACAATAATCACATTCAATGTGCTTAACTTCATAACAGCAGCAAATGTAAAACCGTAGTCAAAGCCATACACCTGTTCATTACCACAGGCAGCCAATCTCGCCTTTAATCGTTTAATAGCTCCATAAGCATCCGTTTTGGTCTTGTAGACCCGTGTTGTGTGCAGCACGTGACTAATATTTGGTGGCACTACGACCAACCAAACTCCAATGTCTTCAAGCGATCGCAGCTTTTCCGACATTGCTATAAGCCACTTTATTCTCTGCTAACTCTTCATGGATTGTCCATAATTCTTCGAGTCCGTCTCCCGCACTCTATTAATCACTTCAACAGGCCGGTCACTTTCTTCTGCATTTCTGCGTGCCTCTTCCGCCGCTGTCCTGGTCATGTGCGCATCGCTGTAGGGTTCACTGTGTCCTCGTCCCTTGCTTTCTCTGCTGGAATCGATACTGGGGTTTTGATCGAAGCATAGCCGCCATTATCGTTAATTGCTTCGTTGTCCTCGATTAGATGCAAACGACGTAATTGCGCATTCTGCTCCACGGTCAGTGTCTCCACGTTTCGAACGTGCTGCGTGACGATGACGATCTTCTCCCTTGGCAAATAAACCCTTAAGCCCTTCATTTATCGCTCTTGCCGATGATAATTTCTTATTTTCCACGCTCACCCAGCGATTTGTTACTCGCATCTCTACGAACCGTGCATGGCGAGCCAAAAGCCACTATGTCGATTAAGTCTGGAATGCTCTTCGTACGCATTTGCAACGGTGAATGTGTTCCTATATCCGCTTTGCTCGGACTCCGGTTAAGAATATACAATGCATATTCGGTGGCGTCTCCCCAAAAGCTTAACAAGAAATATTAGCAAAGAGCATACTCCGCACCATGATCATAAAGGTAGGGTGCATCCGCTCTGCTTTATGGTTACTTGCTTGGTTACGTGGATTGCTCATCTGCCGCGCAATACCAGTGTACTTGCAGAATAGCTCCAAAGTCCTGTATTCTTCTCCACCGTCCGTCCTTAAAATTTAAATCCGACAATTGAATTGTCGCTCAACAAGTCATGAAGAACTTAAATTTCTGAGCTGCAACATCCTTGGACTTTGCCAAGAAAACGCGACATTGGCTAGTCCGACAATCGATAAAGTTCACCATGTAACAGTTGCCCAACCTGTCATGAGGGGTCATCGGTCCCTTTATGTCGGAGCATATAACTTTTCCAATTACATCTATCGGTGCGTTTTTTTCAGTGTCCTTTCGAAAATATGGGTTCTTGGTCTGTTTCTCTTTAGCGCAAGCCAAGCATTTAGCCCGCAGCTTCTCCGTGAGCTGCATTCCTGATGCGGGATCCTTGGCTATCTTAATGATAGTGTCGTAATTAAGGTGCGCAAGCCGTATATAAAAGTGCAAGAGAGATCCTTTCTTCACATTCTGGCCGACGTCCTCTCCGTGCTGTGCAAGTGCTGAAATGAGCACGTCACGTCCCATCGTATCTTGTTCGCATTTTAAGCGCACGACCAACACGTTATTGTGTATTCCCACTTTACAACAGCTGGTCCTTCGTTCGGTGCGGCTGCCACACAGTACTGGCCCCGGTATGCTACTCCACACCCTGTACTCTCCGATAATTTGTACGAATTATGTTCCTCTCGAGGTTTTCTGCTAAGTATACATCCGTCGAGCGTACCTTGGTTATTTTTCTGATTACTGTCGTTGCAATAATCACACTTCCACGCATCGTTATGCGCAGGTGACCACCATCTGCAGCAACGCACTCGCTGATGTATTTCTCAGGGTCATCCATCATAGAAGCGCCATTAACTAGGTGTCGACTTGATCCGCTATCGAGGATCTAGTAATCTTCCTTGAATTTGATCCGCCTATGGTCAGAAAGAAGCAGAGATCATCCATCGCTCTTGTCTTAGCACTATCCTCGGGACACCACATCTTAAGATTTCCTGAATTTCCACATTTGTAGCACGTTCGCATATCTCGACGGTCCGTGCGATTGTATGTTCGGTTCTTGTGATAGGCTCGGCGCCCATTGTCGACGGTATTAAATTACGCCCTTTCCAATACTCTTCCCACGCAGTTCGATCTCGGTCAATTGCGCAAAGTGCGCAAGTTCTTCCGCCTGCCGTAAGTAGTCGATGCGCGTGAAATTCAACCTCGCCAACATCGATACCCTCATATCAGGGTCAGCATAATGCACAATGTTGACTTGAACTAGGTTGTCGGCACCTCCACACGCCTCACTCACCGCCACCAAATACAGGTAGTGCTCCGTCCGGCTCCACTTGGAGCTCTTGGGAGATGTAAAATTATCATGCTTTGCGCGGGGGTTATCTTTATCGCAAACGTATGGAGTAGACGCGGCATCGCATGCTCTAGCGTCGTTTGTTCTTCCCAACACCCCTCGACCTGTTGGTATAATATCGCTCAGCCATCCCGGTCAAGTTGTGCCCTAGCACGTCCACCCTGTCGTCACACCGCTGAAAACCACTTTCTTTCTCCACAAACATGAAATGCCTTTCGAATCTCTTACCTCACTATAAAAATTATTCCCGAGACCTTGATACAATTTTTTGCCATCAAAATTTCGGATGCCCAGCTTCCTCTGTAGCGTATCCGGTACCCGGTCATACGGTAATCCTGGTGCCATGTTGTGGGGAGCCGGCTGGTGCATGGGTGGTGATACGTAATGCTGCGGCAGTACTGGGTGCGGCGCTTGCTCCATCTCAACTTTGGCCGCTGCACCAGCGTACCCAGGCTGTCTTGTACTAAAATACGTTGATGGCGATTCGCTGGGTGACACACGCCTCGGTGGCAACACGTCCAACGCCTCTCTGGTCATGGCTTTGCCCTGCCCCAACACCGAACTAAAAACGGTAGTCATATGGTTCTTGAAACGCTCCATTTCCTCCAGTCGCCCTTGCAAAGCCTTCATGCGCTCCGTTAGGCCCGTGAAAAGGTCCGGCAGCTTGCTCTGCGTGTCTCTTGGTTCTTCCTGACCTCTTCTTTCTCATTTAGGGATCCAGCCCTTTTGCGACCGGCATCTGCCCTGCGCTGCTGACGACCTTCAGCCGCAGCGACCTTTTCGCCAATTGAGCTCATCACCTGTTAGACTTTATATGTATTGAGGATGCTGTGAACATAGAAGTGATATTGTTTCAACGTCCTAAAAACAATGTTTTTGCGCTTTCTAACATCCAGCCATTTATTAACCGACCGTGGCTGCATCTGCCTGCGGAGAGTGGTTGGCCGAGTATTAACACACTCCCACCATCTTGCATAATCGCCAATAAGTATGACTCTTTTGTGTTCTTGTTCCGAGCATAATATTTATGATCAAGAAAGGAAGGACAAGACTCTGCGTGGCATGAATGTCATTGTCAGAGAGAGCGCGCGGAAGGCCGATAAGTAGGAATACACTGTAACGTGTTATAAAAAATAAATACTTACTCCATTGAAAAAGTCACGAAAGAGGAAAGCTACAATATAGTCCTGCTTCTTTAGCTCTGTATTTGACTGAATTTTCTTATACCACCTTTGGTGCGTGATCAGGCGTTTAACTATAGCAATCACACATCATTCACTCTTAAAAACATTTATACCTAAATATAGGGCGAAACACACATCAGCACAAGTGCTGGAAAAGGCTTCACAATTAACGCATACCTTGTGGCTTCAGCTCCAGTCGACTGTTAGTAGTCGATCCGATCTCTCCTGGTCATGACCTCGGTCCATTCGCCATCTACAAGGCCGAGTCTTTTCCAAGCCAATGCATACATTTATGTTGTCCTCACCGAAAACATTAAAAATACTAATTTCAGGAGCAATCATTAAATAATTTCTGATTTCATTCACCAAGTAACGTGTGTGACAATTATAAAAACGAAATCAATAACTTTTAGTGTAGGGTGACCAGCTTTAATGAATTGAGTGTATGGGCGACTCTATTTTTTAGTTGCAGAATATTCAGAAACGTTTTCTGCTCGCCTTTAAGTACAAAAATTAGTTAAAACATGATGGCTGGCTTATTATTCGTGAACCATTTATACAAAAAAGCGGATAATGATCCTCTAGTTTTCTTTCACGAGCCTTCACTACATTGATTTAACCAGTTATTGATTTGAAGACCTCCTGACGGTCAAATTGCATTGTTGTGCGTTTATAAAAATTGATCATCATTCCACATAACCTACTTCATCGTACTTCTGAGTTACTTGCTAATAAGCACTTAATTGCCTGACTAGCCACAATAGAGCCCTTTTACGTTTTTACAAAGCCTATTGTCACAACGCCAGGTCATGCCGTCAAGTATTACAATTACAAGCAGCGCCTTCAGAATCTCTATTAAGGCGACGGATCGACGATATTAAGGCCGTTAGATTCGGTGCTTAAAGCATTCAATGCTACTTCAAACATTAGTATGTTCATGCCGAATTCGATAGTTGTTGATAGTATTGACGCTACTTTTATATACATGACATCGTTACTTGGATAACCTCACATCGTTCGATAGTTATAAATTGTCCGAATGCCGCAACTAAAACATATCAAAGGTGTTTACGATAGGCGGGTCATGAAGATGAATGTATTTTGTAGCAATCAAGAACAACAAAAGGTTGAGCAGCATATAAAAGAATCGCATTGTGTGATTTACAGATTGTAGATTTACACGCTAATGTGAAGATGCTTTGAATACGTCTGTACTAGGAGTAAAGCGCTATCGTAAGGCTTTGCCGGAGTTGCCCTCTAAAGAGATAGAGACGTAGTATAAGGCTATATTGTACCCATATTAACCAAGGCGGTGCGAGCCTAATTTCTGAGTCAATTCAGTACTTAGTTTTCCCATGAAGCGGAAGTGTTATGAGGCTTTGTTGCGTTAATCATTAATTGTATTGAAGACCGTAAACGCAGCCGATTAATCGGATTTGCTCAACGCCAAATAATCCTGCGGAATAGAAGTAGCAGCTATCATTAAGGAAGATACCCTTAGACCTCTTGCGTGGCCCCTTGCATATAGCGCGATCACCCAACGAGCACAATGCGCAAGGATGCCATCCAGCGGGCTGTTTTATCGACTCCGCCTTTTTGCTGATGCTTCCTGCATCTGTGCAAGCAACATACTTAGTACAAATGCTTTTCCTTTTTGGTAGCCGCTAATGATAATATCTGCATAAGAAGATGCTCCTTGTGGATCTGACGATAGGAGTGGCTCAGAATCGATTGCGAATAATTGGAAATGAGCAGCACAAAAAATGAAAATTCAATCGACATGGAGAGAAACTTTCAGCTCTAATCAAAAAATTTATTAATTGTTCTGAATGCTCAATAGCGGCCTCCCTAAGATTTTTTTCTTAATTTATCGATTTTTGGGGCAGACATTTTCTTTTTTAAATTTTGCAGTCAGAAAATATTATGGAAGCATTAATTTGTTTTATCACAGCGAAATCAGCCCATGTACAGTGGACGTTAGGCTATTTAGCTTATGTACAGGTATAAACAATTTTCATATAACCATTTGGAAGGGGACAACGCAGATCGTTTTTTCGCCTGCGCGAAAGTTTGCGAGGTGTTTTAAGCCATTGATGTAAGGTCGGATTAATCTGGACATATAGCCGTCATTTGTTTTAATTTGATTTAAAGGTCGTACAACTAGCAAGATGATACATAACTAGCAATGAATGATTTTTTGTACCATTCTTTTGACATAAAGCTGTTTGAAGTGTAAAGGCCACGTAACAAAGAAACTGTAGAATGTTCAATATACATTACAAAAAAGATTAGGCGTTGAGCAGACATGGCAGATGCAATAGAGAAAAAAGAACTCAGGGTTGAGCTGTAATAGAGAGGCATCTGCACGTGTGCTCTAAAAAAGATTTACTCATCGAGATGCTTGCAAATATCAAGGAAAGTCAATTTGTTTAAAATAGTGTCAAGTTAAGTAAGTAAGGTTTTTTGTATCTGCACTAGAAATACAGTGTATCCCGGTTTAGAAAAATATGAAACTAGCTTATCTGAGCTCTGCGATAGTGAACGTGCGACAACCTATGCACATAAAATGAATGGGGTTCAAGTTTAGTCATGACAGCATTACAATATTTGTAATATTTCCTGGCGGTTAAATGGCAAGGGCTCTGAAATCAGACACCTCCCTAAATTGTTTGATGATATGTCAAATCAATAAGTGCGGTATGAACTGATCCGTAGAGGGCTAGCCAGGGGGAATCTTTATTGAACTTCACTTATTTATACGCAACTAGATAAAACGACATAAGAGTCGACTAATTTTAGGAACTTGGGGTAGAACAGAGCATCAACAAGCTTGAAGATAAGCCAATTCCAAAATGAGCAACAACACAAAATGTCCAAGAGTAAATATTCCACAAGGTCCATAATCACTCTAGATAAAGTTTAACTGCACTTTTATCGCTATATGTCTGTTGTAATTAATCTTGTCTTAAGTATTCAACGCAAAGTCAGTATTAACTTACAGTAGAAATCCTACAACTCCAAAGAACTTGATCGGTACCACTTCAAGCAGTCATCATTGTCAACCGTACATAGATACTTCCCATTGCTTGTAGAGGCAAGTTCAATATGAAACGGCATCTTCGATAGGAAAAATCGTATAATTCACACTCAAAACCTGCAGAAAATTATTGCATAATTTTTTTATTTCATGCATCACTACCGGTTTTTGAATCTTTTGCGCGACTCGGATACAAGTGCTCACAAATTTCGGCCTCAATTACAAGCTCTCGCTCATTTTGCACGTGTTACAAATTATCTCGGACGACTACTATTCAGTCTCCCTGTTAGTTCCGAAGTGTGAGCACTTTGTACGACTGATCCATTTGTCCTTTGAATTTCTCGTCCGATAGATCATAAACCTGTGACTGCGGGCAACGACTAAAAATGATGAAGACGTACCAATTTGACTACTTAAAGTAGAATATACAGGACAGTGTTGTACAAACAACATGGATCCCTTATTATCAAGCGGAAATACTCCATAGCCGATACCTTGTTATCTTGTAGACAGTCGAATCATCGGATCAGGCATCAATAAGCCTGAAGTAGACCAATGGAAATAGTATGGTGACCGTTACCTTAACAATACATGTATGTGATGAAATTATCTCTACATTTATTCTTTGTTTCTTGCTCGTATCAACCGAAGGTGCTATTTTGCTCATTAAGTAATTAAATTCTGCAGCCAAAGTCGATTATTTGCCACATTAAGCAAAAAGTGGAACCATCTTTAACGCCTTCGGCCAGAAAGTCGCACGGACTTAACCATTTAATTACTTTGTAGAGTTTCTCAAGCGCAAAGCTTATGAAAAGTAACAGATACACTTAATGAATTATCAAATGCTACAGAAACGCATATATACCACATTGGTCGAGGATGTTTCGCCCTGTGGGAATGTTACTACGAGAACGTTCTATATGATTATAAATGCGCCGCTTTAGTCCATGATCTTCACCAGACAGTTCCTATTCCCAAAATGAGCATATTCTGCAGTTAAGTGTCTGCTGGAAAATCCTTTAAAATTCTGATGACTCCTTACTTCTACAGATCACGGAAAAAGCACGACTGTCGTTTTACTGTTCCACACATCAACAATTGTGTCGCCTAGTCGTTTCTCCAAAACCTTTATGATGTATACTTACAGATGTGAATCTTTGAATAGCAGCGACAATTGACAATTACTCGAAAAAATCATATCTGCTGGGAGATCATGATAAAGCTTCCAGTGCGACTAAAACACTTTAAAATGATTCAAATGTTAAATTGTGTAATGTTTTCGCACTATAGTTGCTACTTATAGCTCACAATTTACAGGTGGGTTCTCCGTTTGTGATGAAAAGCTTTGCTAATGCTGGCACACAGCCGACTCACGTACCAGATCGATTCCAGCAGGTAGTGTATTCCACAGACACTATTTTTATTAAAAGTCACCCCCAATCTTTCTGATAATCTCGAGCAGCTTATTTTGATCTAATATGGACGCATATGCTTTTTTTAGCTTGTGAAGATGCTCGTCCAGATTGTATACAAGTGCAGCAAAGAGACGATGCGGTTGGTCGATGCGGATGGTCAATGCGGTGTGTACAGTACGAGCGATATTCGCGTGTTAACTAGGCATGTGACGTTTAAAAATGTACAAATAATTGCGAATGTATTTATAGCTAGACGTATTCAAATGTGTAGTTGCGCTAGACTCAACGTGCAAACGTGTTTCCTTGGACTAAAGGACGCCAGCAAATCGTGCAACGATGGGCGCACAGTAAACGATCCATGTAGTAAAATAGGTGCGAAGCAGTGGTATGATCGCCAAAATGATAATGGAATGAGAACTATAAAACAATGAATAAATATGAAAAACAGTATCATGAAGGACAAGTGTAACTAAGTTAGCGATAACCATGTGATTCCTAATTAATCCTAAAATATAAGCTATTGTTGTCTATTCATGTAATACTGCCGGAGACGAAACAACAAGGTAGCGACAATGGACTTATTAGCTTTCATTAGTTGATCGTTTACTGTATCTCCTTGCCTTATATCTACAAGCTCTCTCTCAGCAAATGCAAATTATAGAAAGCTATGATTATAGCTAAATGCTCATGCAAGGTTGTAGGTAAATCTCTTACCACGTGTCACTTTTTCGTAGATCCTGCACAAACATAAGCATGTTTAGGGCCCACCAAGCATCTTCTAAATTTGACGAGAGACAGAGAATTCGCTGTTATGTGTATAAGCGTACTACAAGTTAACGATGCCATCTCATGAACGCGAGTTATTAGTAAAACCGTCTTGCAAGTCGAAGGTTGAATATATTGTTTACGGTGTGAAAGAATAATGCCACACTTGTCAAATTGTACTGATCTGGCTGTCTGTCTGTGCGTAGTCTGTCTCTAAATAACGCTAAGTACCTTACGCGTCGTATCAAGTTCGATTTAGTATGTCAACCTTTTTGTTTGTAGATGAATAACGTTAGGTGCATTCAACAAATCGCACTAAGTGCAATCTTTTCTGTCAGCCATTACGTCTGTGAGTAACTCTTTTTGCACGTCACACATCGCACTAAGTGCGATGTAGCCTGTAGCCTCCACTGCATATGTCTGCAAAAAACAAATGATGTACCTAACAAGTCGTACTAAGTGTGATGCAGCATTTTATCCTTTTCATTGGTCCATAGGATTTGCGAATGAATGAAGCTCTGAGTAAGTGATCGCAAGATACGTGACTATATAGAAATTGATTCAGTTATATGGACTAAAAAGTCTTCATTAAAGGGCGAGCCTCATAGCTTTCTCCCCTATGCTATATTCACAACCCTGTTCCCTTAAACCCACAACTTTCCTGACAAATCGATAGGACTCAAACTCCTATCGCTTATATATTTACTAATGCGTTCACGCATCTGTTTGCCGTGCTGTTCTGCGTATGTAACAGCACTGATGCAACGCCCATGCATCGAAAGAAAGACCGATAAAGCATCAGGTATATTGTACAAGTGCAATGGATATGGTGGCGGTGTTATGTTTTATCAAATGCCGAAGTGTCGCCAAGCTTGTCTGAACGCGAAAACAGCTCATGGAACGGGGTGCCTCCTTTACATGCTGCTTTAAAAAGGTTCACTATTAAAGAAGAAGAAGAATTTACGCCAGGCATCATGTTCTTACACTATTAGCTCAACAAATAATTTTGTGATGCATAAGTAATATACTGTACATAGTTTTATATTGATTTATGATATTACTTGATGAAAGCAGGCCTCGTAATTTTTGTAGATTTTCTAAAACAATCTGGTGTGATCTACAAAATAAGGAATCCGTTTAACACTATAGGCTACAAATCGACGAAATGTCAGGAGGGATCGCAACAGGCTCCAGACGCCCCCAGCTTACCTGCAAGCGTACAGCATGACCCACGTCCACCCGACAGCCTACAGGGATTCCCACACACTTTTAGTCTGCTCACGCGTTACAGTTTGGAGTCATGGTGAAAGCAGCGCGACTTTGGTGCCTATTCTGCGTGTACAAGAGTCGCGATGAGGTCTAGGTCGAACAAACGATCTCAAGCGCAAATGATTGACATCATTAAGATGCTCACCGCGCCGTTCTTCCAGCATAAGTACCGCAGTCAGTAAAATTTCTCAGCACGTCGACTTGAGGGTGATGTACAAGTAGATATCGAACTTCGACAAAGCGCTATAGTCCCAAAGCAAGACTAATTCGGCCGATAGAATGCATCGGTATTAAAAAGGACAGGGTGACGTAAAACATCAGCTCTCGCATCGTCAAAAACGTTTTGGCGACCGATTCTTCCGCGACGACGAGGTGCTTGCCGTTTACAATGCCGACGAAGGTAGTAACGACGATGTGCCCACCAAGATCGCCAAGTAGTCTGTAGAAAAGGCCAAGAGAAGATTATTATCTTCAAGGTGATCGTAAAAATGAGAATAACATTGATCGCTATAAGTCCACCGCAAAGAACTTAATGCGAATGAATTGGTCGATGGACTTCGTTTCGTTCAACTTGTCGTTCAGGCAGACTGCGGCCGTCATCTAACCGCCAGGGAACACACTAAGGCGTCAAAAGTTACGGGTATTAAAGACGCGATAGTTGACCACTAATCCCGTGTATTGGTCAGTGTTTCTTTCAAGAATTTCAGAAATGATGGGCTTCATGTCTATGTGCTCAGTATCGCTTGCACTCGACTCAAGTATGCACCTTCAGCAGTCGTTCTTCGACATAAGTTTGCGGTTGTGATCATAAAGTTCTGCTCTGCAACATACATTTGGTTGGGCTCCGACGTTCGAATCGAGGGAATTATCTTCAACCTGCTCATTAATTTCTGGACGCAACTTAACCAGACTGTGTAACGGGGCTCCCTGAAGCTTGTACTGGTGACAGTACAAGCTACTTATTCTGATGACAGAATAAGGCGGTGCCTCGTAACTTCACGTACACTCGTACGTGCAGAGGAAGACGGTAAAAAGAAGCGAGTACTTGGTTAGAGTAAAAAGTAGAACTGTATTTATAATAGTTAATGTCTGCAATAAATCACTATTTATCTTCATCTAACTATGTCTAAATACAAATGTGTAAATCAGTTATCTGCTCACCACTCATCGCGTGCGTCTGTCGTGGCGCGTCTTCGTTGGTTGATATAATGGGCTATATCAACCAATTAGGAACTACTCGTAAGTGCTACAAAATATTTGTCCTTATGACAATATTCTGAGAATATAACTCTTATAGTTATATTCTATTAACAATTTCTTATAAATTGTTATGTAACGATTCACCCCGTTACATCATTCCCCCCTTAACCATCAGTCACTTTAGTGACTGATTGACTAAATGGATACTCGTCCCAAATGATTTGGGACAGGGTTTGCACTTGTTAATCCGCGTCCACTTTCCAACATCTCATCGCATGGTTAACAAGCCCATGCGATGCGCGAGCAAGGCCGCCGAGAGCGCGTCTGCACGTCTCTGTGCGGACGCCGAAGCAGAAACAACAGCAACTGATGTCCCATCGGTTGCTGAAGCGACTCAGCCTGTGTCACTTGGTGACGCAGGCGCTGGTCATGAAGACACTCGTGTCTTCACAGAGTACGAGCTCGGTGTCTCGTACTCTCCTGATACGGATGACGGATCCGTATCGACGGCGATTGAATCTAAGCCGCCAGCCAAGTGTGGCATGGACGATGCTTTGCGTCGCAGCATCTTTGGTTCATCTGATGAATCAGATGAACCATCGCCGAAGCGAAGGCGCTCGAGGTCGCGAGACTCGGGCGCTAATAGTGGTGTCGGTTCTCCAATGGACACCACTTCACAGCGAGGTGCCAGTACTTCTGTCGGCACGTCGCAGGAAGAGCGGGACCGCAATGTGTTGCGTCTCGCTCCAGAAAAGAAGGCATGGATGCCTCCGAAATCCGTCATGGATCACTTGTCGGCGACTACGAGTGATCGTTATCGAACACGATTGTTCGATTCGTCAAGGATCCATCACCTTGACCCCAGCGCGAAAAACTATCGCGCTGAACACGAATTCTTCGTCGATGCTTTCTTCAGACATCGATGGTACAGTGGGAACCACAAGCGTGATGGTCCCTCACTACTTCAAGCGTGGAACGCCTACATCCATAATCTCGAGGATGTAGGTCGTGACGCTTGGAACGACAAACTTATCAAAGCTCGTGATAAGTTTGAAAAGCGAACCCCGACGGGTGCACGCTACAAGCTGCATCTTCTGTCAAGGGAGAAGGGATTACCCTGCCTCTCTTGGGGAGACTCGTGCCCGTGTTGTGTGAACAACTCTGCACGAGCACCCAAGAAGGCTTACCTCCCTAATAGCCCGTGGTGGCGCGTACGTATCTCTATTGAGATGTACGAAGGGATTGACAACTTGAAATCCCTTTACGACCGTGCCGGGAAGACTTTCTCCGGCGGTCCTTCTGCGGCACAGGATGTGCCGCGTCGTACTGCTCAACCAGACCCAGTACGTCAATCAACAGTTGGGAGCGGGGCTCCCAAGAATCCCAGGACGGGGGATAGCCGCGCCACCGGACGAGATAACTCGTCCGACGTCCGTTCACGTCGCGGTGGTTCAACAGCTGCTCAACTAGATAGCGCTGGCCACCGCTAGAGTCCTCTAATGGAGGTGGAGGAGGAGGAAAGACGCTCTCCACACGATCATGTGGATCGGTGTGTTCCCGAGGGCTTCTTTGATCGCGTAACGCAAGGGTTACGCGACGATCTCGAGCATGAGCGGAATAGGCGTCTCCAAATGGCGGACACTGCCTCGAAGCATCGAGCTGAGTTTGCCTTTGCTCAGCTCGAGAACGAGAGATCTCTGACATCTCTTCGTGACGAGCTAAGGGTAGCTCGTGGGATTGTTGATCGGTCTCGGGATGAGATAGCTGCTCTTCAGACCCTTGTTGATGCCCACCATCGGGAGCACAAGGCTCTCTGCGAGATGCTTGAGCGCAAGGGCGTTCTTCATCGGAAGAAGCAGCGTACTGATGGTACGGCTTAAGCCGACCAACGTAAAACGTGGGATGCGTTCGCATCTTACGTGGTAACTCGATCGTGTATGCATTGCCTAGGCGGTGCAATACACGAAATGGGCCAATGTACTTGGGTAGTAGTTTACTGCTACCCAAGTTAGTCACTACATGCTTTGGTAGATTAACCGTAGACAGTAGGACTAAGTCACCTTTACTAAATAAAAGAGTGTTTGCCCTTCCATTCTTGTCAGCGTTTTGCTTTTGCTTATCCACCGCTTCGGCGATGGAGTCTTGCACAAAACGGACTACCGTTTCACGAGCCAGTAAGAACTCATCTGATGACTCGTTAGCTTCAGTGCGCTGTGAGCGCACTGCAGCGACATCAACCTTTTCTTCAGTGAGGGCTTCCGCACTCTCACTGGCATCATCTTCTTCGATATCGATGTTATCGATATCGGCATCAAACGCAATGACATCTTCGTCAGAGCGTGATGAGCGTGAACCAATTCGGTTTTTGCTCGCGCGAGTCCCTCCCCCCCTTAAACCAGAGTTACACTCTAGTAAGGTGGGTACACGCGGATGGCGCAAGCCATTCACGTAAAACGGTGTATGTGTCGTGGACGCATGCACCGAGTTGTTGATGGCAAACTCTACCATTGGCAAGAACTCACTCCAACTCTTAAAGGAGTGTACGTATCCTCGAAGTATCTCTTCAAGGAAACGATTGGCACGTTCCGTCTGACCATCTGACTATGGATGATCAGATGTCGACATCTTAAAGCGCGTTCCGAGTGATTTGAACACGGAACGCCAGAAATCAGCTGTGAAGCGTGGATCTCTGTCTGATACGAGTTCACGGGGCAACCCATGAAGTCGGAAGATGGTGTCAATAAAGACACAAGCACAGCCACTTGCCGTGATTGTCTCTGGTACAGCCACAAGGTGTACCATTTTGCTGAATCTGTCAACAAATACGAGAATACCCGTATTCCCGCGTGCGTCTTTGGGTAACCCGAAGACGAAATCCATTGAGATGGATTCCCAGCACTCAGCCGGAACCGGTAGAGGCTGTAAAGGTGCACGCAGTGAAGGACTTGACTTCACTCGTTGACAGACTTCGCATGCGCGAACATACTTTCGCACAAACTGATACTGGCGGGGCCAGTAAAAGTCTCGACTTACCGTGAGATATGTTTTCTCTCGGCCACGATGTCCTCCTATAGGAGCATCGTGATACTCGAACATGATCCGCAAAGGCAGATCAGTATCATCTGGAATGACAACACGTGGTGTGTCACCAGAAACGGCTGTATAATACAGTAAACCCGTTGCGAGTAGTGTATCGATCTGATGCAGATCGATACGCAGGCGACAATCGTTTCAACGATTCTCGAGATGGTTGGGAGAGATGTGTCAACAACTTCACTATCTCACCATCTTGGGCGTATGCCCGCCTCACATCATCATACAACGTTGTAGATGGGACTGAGGACGTCATAACCACAACAGTGACTGTCTCACTGTTGGGTTTCGCGACTGTTTCAAAGTCGGGACGACGTGAGAGTGCATCAGCGACGACATTAAGTCGTCCTGGTTTGTACTCGACCGTAAAGTTGTATTCTGCAAAGAATGACAACCACCGCGCCATTCGTTGTGAAAGGTGCGGGCTGTTCACTGCCGTGCGTAACGACGCATGGTCAGTGTAAACAATGAAGGGTCTATCTCCTAATAGATAGACTCTGAACTTCGCGAGTGCATACTTCATGGCAAGGAGTTCCTTGTCATGCACTGGATAGTTCCGCTCAGCTGGTTGCAGCTGACGCGACTGATAGCAGACGACGCGTTCAACGCCTTCAAGATCGTACTGCATTAGTGCACAGCCGATTGCGAAATCGCTGGCATCACAGACCACATGAAATGGCCTGTCCTGATCGGCTATTGCTAGGACTGGGGATTGTATCAAGCTCTGCTTGATACCCTCAAAGAAGCGTTGACATTCAGCGTTCCATAACCACCTCTCGTTCTTTTTCAACAAACGAGAGAGGTGCACAGTCATCTCGGCGTAATTGCGTGAATACTTATGCAAATACGCCGCTAGCCCAAGGAATTTTCGAAGACCTTTGACATCGACCGGCACAGGCCAGTCGGTGATCGCCTTGATCTTTTCGGGATCAGGACGTACACCGTTCTTACCAACGATGCACCCAAGAAGTGGTATTTCGCTTGCGGCAAATATACAGTTCTTGAGGTTAGCATACAATTGATGCTTTCGCATGATTGTAAGAACTTGTCGGACGTGGTACCTGTGAACCTCAACGTCCGACTTTCCATCCATAGCTCGACTATGGATGAATACGTCATCGAAATAACTCGGCGCGAATTCTCGTACTGGTCTCAACAGATGTGATACACATCTGTTGAACGTGGCAGGGGCATTACTGAGTCCTTGTGGCATTACTAGCCATTCCCAGAGCATGCCGCTAGGCGTGCTAACTGCGGTATAGGGTATATCCCGTTCCCGCATAAGGATTTGATAGAAGCCATCCATCAAATCCATGGACGAAAAGATGGTACTCTTTGACATACCATCAATGATTACGTCCTTCCTCGGTATCGGCGTCTGAGCCGGTACCGTTGCAGCGTTCAATTTGTTGAACGCGTGCACTATCCGCCACCCTCCTGTTGCTTTTCGCACACAGAAGGTCGGAGAGCTATGTGGGGAAGTTGATTCCCTCACATGGCCCGCAGCTAAACGATCGGCAAAGAACTTGTCGATCGCAAGTACTTTTTCACGAGGCAGTGGCCACTGCTTCATGACACAGTACTTCGAGCCTGGTTTAAGCTCGACTTCGTGTCGAATACCTTTATCCTTCGGTAATTCGCACGGAACAGTTTCAGGGAATACATCCTTGAATTCAACCAAATCTTCATAGAGAGGATTTGTCTTGAGCGATTCCCATGATTGGGAGTCATATCGCTCAATTCGTGTCTTTTCATCTAGGACACTCTCGTCCATAGATGAACTACTGAGAACTCTCTCGTTCTCAGTAAACACTGTTGCTGACCTTATGTCGGCTACACACTCGTCGTCAGCGACGAGTACGCAGATCTGCTTGACTTTGCCACTACGCAGATCACGCAAGAACCTTTTATGTTCGAGCGTTGGCAACTGAGTGATCTCCGAAGTAAACTTCGGAGGCGCAATCAGATCAAGTGTATAAGCGCCTACACTTGATCCGTTATTGACTAGAACATTCAATGTCTCTGTCATTTCCTGGCGACTTATTCCCTCAGGCCTCGAAGGACCTTTTCCTTCGGCTTCCCGGGGACTTATTCCCGCGGGTTTCGGGGAACTTATTTCCACCGTATTTGTAATCTCGGGACTTATTCCCTTAACTTCCTCTAGCTGGGGTTGCGCAACCACAGCGAGATCCTCTACGAAAGACTCTACAGTCGATCTAGGATTATCGTTTCGCTTAACCTGAGCGATCGATGGTTTCTTCTCTAAATGTTCCCCGCTAGGGATACATCGTTGTCCCGGTCCACTCGACTAATTCGAGTGGTGGACCTTCGGCACAACCTGTGTTTCCTCACAGCCGCCGGAACTTTGCTCCAAAGTGTAACCGTTTGGTACACTAAGGTTTTGTGCAGTCGTACTAACGACCGTACCACAAGTGAGGCCATCGCACTCACTCGTAGTACATCCACACGCTTGTGGACGCTCCAAAACGTTCATCAGATGGCCATCTGATGAACAAGAGGCAGGCATCGTTACTGTTCGATGTTGCCAGTTCACCCGTGGTTCGTACCTTATGAGCCACGGTATTCCAAGGATGACATCAAATTTGTCATCCAAATCCAATACGATAAAGTCATCGTCATATTGGGTATCTTCTAGCGTATAGTGGATCTTCACTATGCGCTTCATGACGGTTACGGATGCGCCTGTCGCAAGACGTACCGTCATCCTCGTAGGAGGTGTGTCACATTCACTGAATTTAAAGTGACCATCTTCTAGCGATTGGCGTCGCACAAAATTGTTGGACGCCCCACAATCGACTAGAGCTCGAAGGGACAACTTATTCGTCACTTCGAGTTTCAAGGTAATGAGTGAGACCTCATTACCTAGAGCATCAACGCACAACGTTTGTGTGTTGGGAGCAACCTTCATCAAGAGGCCTACAAATTCTCTTGACGTTGCTAGACCAGTAGGGTGCTCCGCACCTACTGATCCTGTCCGTTTTCTGACGGTCCATCCCGTTGTTGCGTCTTTGCACCAACTGCGGACCCTCGTCCCTGCCCCTTTCTCATGGGTGGACGGTCATTACGCCCAGTGTCGCGAGACACTGGACGAGGGGCACTTCACTCGTAAGCGTAGTGTCCTGTCTTTTGACATCTGTTGCATCTCTGCAACTTCTTGTAGCCTGTAGAGCGAGCCTTCTCGCTCTCTACATAACAGAGTTCCATCGGCTCTGGACCTCCGCTGTCATATCGTCTCGGTTGACGATATGATGTCGAGCTGGCGCGAGCCTGTCTCATACTGAAGTCTTCCTGCTCCGCAATGGAAATGGCTTGTTCTAGTGAATCTAGTTCAAGCCGGAACAGGTGAGTCTTGACGGGACCATCCGCAAGACCCTGCATGAACACCGAAACCAACGTGTGTTCATCCACCGGATTGGAACTTATACAACTCGTGAGATGTCGTATATGTTGTGCGTAAGCGTGCACATCACGCTTACCCTGTTTGAGCTTCAAGAGTTCAGTTCGAGATCTGAACTCAGCTCTAGGCGGTTCAAACGTTTGTCTGAGCCGCGACTTGAAGACTTCCAACGACCCAAACGCATATGGGTCGTGCAACTTGAGCCCCAGTGCCCAAGTCTTGGCACGTCCTGCCAGATTTGACTGGGCAAATGCAACTTGCATATCCCCGTCGTCGATGCGACGCGCCCTTATGGCGTCATCCAATTCGACGAACCATCTCAAGAGGGAGTCTTCTTCGACCCCCCTATACTTGGAGATGTCAATCTTCAAAGTCTCGGGTCGACGCGAGTGCATAGACCCGCCAGCAGCAGCCTGCTGCTGTCTCAACAGTTCAAACTGTTGAGCACCTTGTTCTCTCAACAACTCTGCTTGTTGAGAACCTTGTTGGTGAAGCAAGGCTACTTTCTCGCGTTCAGCGTCAAGTTCATTTTGAATGAACTTGGCGATAGTAGCATGTCTGGGCATCTCTATTGAGAGCCTCTAGCATGACGCTAACAGCATGGATGCCCATGGTCGAACCCATTCGTTCAACCGCATCCCATTCGACATCGCTCAAATGGGAGTAGCCGTCACGCGTAGCGTGAAAGCTTTGGTCATCTTCACCACCTAACATATTCATGTTGGATGTGAACGCGGTCCTTGGACGGACTACGAAGTGCTACCAGGTGTAACGGGGCACCCTGAAGCTTGTACTGGTGACAGTACAAGCTACTTATTCTGATGACAGAATAAGGCGGTGCCTCGTAACTTCACGTACACTCGTACGTGCAGAGGAAGACGGTAAGAAGAAGCGAGTACTTGGTTAAAGTAAAAAGTAGAACTGTATTTATAATAGTTAATGTCTGCAATAAATCACTATTTATCTTCATCTAACTATGTCTAAATACAAATGTGTAAATCAGTTATCTGCTCACCACTCGTTGCGTGCGTCTGTCGTGGCGCGTCTTCGTTGGTTGATATAATGGCCTATATCAACCAATTAGGAACTACTCGTAAGTGCTACAGAATATTTGTCCTTATGACAATATTCTGAGAATATAACTCTAATAGTTATATTCTATCAACAATTTCTTATAAATTGTTATGTAACGATTCACCCCGTTACAGACTGGCACTGTGAGGACTTGTCGTACACTAGGTAAATTGAAAACTGAATCAATTTAGGTCCTTAGTTCGCGACCTTGTGCTACTCTAAGCATACCCGTCTAGATCCTTCTAGAAGCTTCTTCAGTGACGTCAGCTAGTGACGTCAGACTGTGACGTCATCCAATGACGTCAAACCTATTCTTTTTACGTTTTTACGCTGTAATTGTAACGGTTCACCCTGAAGCTTGTACTGGTGACAGTACAAGCTACTTATTCTGATGACAGAATAAGGCGGTGCCTCGTAACTTCACGTACACTCGTACGTGCAGAGGAAGAGGTAAGAAGAAGCGAGTACTTGGTTAAGGTAAAAAGTAGAACTGTATTTATAATAGTTAATGTCTGCAATAAATCACTATTTATCTTCATCTAACTATGTCTGAATACAAATGTGTAAATCAGTTATCTGCTCACCACTCATTGCGTGCGTCTGTCGTGGCGCGTCTTCGTTGGTTGATATAATGGCCTATATCAACCAATTAGGAACTACTCGTAAGTGCTACAAAATATTTGTCCTTATGACAATATTCTGAGAATATAACTCTTATAGTTATATTCTATTAACAATTTCTTATAAATTGTTATGTAACGATTCACCCCGTTACATCATTCCCCCCTTAACCATCAGTCACTTTAGTGACTGATTGACTAAATGGATACTCGTCCCAAATGATTTGGGACAGGGTTTGCACTTGTTAATCCGCGTCCACTTTCCAACATCTCATCGCATGGTTAACAAGCCCATGCGATGCGCGAACAAGGCCGCCGAGAGCGCGTCTGCACGTCTCTGTGCGGACGCCGAAGCAGAAACAACAGCAACTGATGTCTCATCGGTTGCTGAAGCGACCCAGCCTGTGTCACTTGGTGATGCAGGCTCTGGTCATGAAGACACTCGTGTCTTCACAGAGTACGAGCTCGGTGTCTCGTACTCTCCTGATACGGATGACGGATCCGTATCGACGGCGATTGAATCTAAGCCGCCAGCCAAGCGTGGCATGGACGATGCTTTGCGTCGCAGCATCTTTGGTTCATCTGATGAATCAGATGAACCATCGCCGAAGCGAAGGCGCTCGAGGTCGCGAGACTCGGGCGCTAATAGTGGTGTCGGTTCTCCTATGGACACCACTTCACAGCGAGATGCCAGTACTTCTGTCGGCACATCGCAGGAAGAGCGGGACCGCAATGTGTTGCGTCTCGCTCCAGAGAAGAAGGCATGGATGCTTCCAAAATCCGTCATGGATCACTTGTCGGCGACGACGAGTGATCGTTATCGAACACGATTGTTCAATTCGTCAAGGATCCATCACCTTGACCCCAGCGCGAAAAACTATCGCGCTGAACATGAATTCTTCATCGATGCTTTCTTCAGACATCGATGGTACAGTGGGAATCACAAACGTGATGGTCCCTCACTACTTCAAGCGTGGAACGCCTACATCCATAATCTCGAGGATGTAGGTCGTGACGCTTGGAACGACAAACTTATCAAAGCTCGTGATAAGTTTGAAAAGCGAACCCCGACAGGTGCACGCTACAAGCTGCATCGTCTGTCAAGGGAGAAAGGATTACCCTGCCTCTCTTGGGGAGACTCGTGCCCATGTTGTGTGAACAACTCTGCACGAGCACCTAAGGAGGCTTACCTCCTTACCAGCCCGTGGTGGCGCGTACGTGTCTCTACTGAGATGTACGAAGGGATTGACAACCTGAAATCCCTTTACGACCGTGCCGGGAAGACTTTCTCCGGCGGTCCTTCTGCGGCACAGGATGTGCCGCGTCGTACTGCTCAACCAGACCCAGTACGTCAATCAACAGTTGGGAGCGGGGCTCCCAAGAATCCCAGGACGGGGGATAGCCGCGCCACCGGACGAGATAACTCGTCCGACGTCCGTTCACGTCGCGGTGGTTCAACAGCTGCTCAACCAGATAGCGCTGGCCACCGCGAGAGTCCTCTAATGGAGGTGGAGGAGGAGGAAAGACGCTCTCCACACGATCATGTGGATCGGTGTGTTCCCGAGAGCTTCTTTGATCGCGTAACGCAAGGGTTACGCGACGATCTCGAGCATGAGCGGAATAGGCGTCTCCAAATGGCGGACACTGCCTCGAAGCATCGAGCTGAGTTTGCCTTTGCTCAGCTCGAGAACGAGAGATCTCTGACATCTCTTCGTGACGAGCTAAGGGTAGCTCGTGGGATTGCTGATCGGTCTCGGGATGAGATAGCTGCTCTTCAGACCCTTGTTGATGCCCACCATCGGGAGCACAAGGCTCTCTGCGAGATGCTTGAGCGCAAGGGCGTTCTTCATCGGAAGAAGCAGCGTACTGATGGTACGGCTTAAGCCGACCAACGTAAAACGTGGGATGCGTTCGCATCTTACGTGGTAACTCGATCGTGTATGCATTGCCTAGGCGGTGCAATACACGAAATGGGCCAATGTACTTGGGTAGTAGTTTACTGCTACCCAAGTTAGTCACTACATGCTTTGGTAGATTAACCGTAGACAGTAGGACTAAGTCACCTTTACTAAATAAAAGAGTGTTTGCCCTTCCATTCTTGTCAGCGTTTTGCTTTTGCTTATCCACCGCTTCGGCGATGGAGTCTTGCACAAAACGGACTACCGTTTCACGAGCCAGTAAGAACTCATCTGATGACTCGTTAGCTTCAGTGCGCTGTGAGCGCACTGCAGCGACATCAATCTTTTCTTCAGTGAGGGCTTCCGCACTCTCACTGGCATCATCTTCTTCGATATCGATGTTGTCGATATCGGCATCTAACGCAATGACCTCTTCGTCAGAGCGTGATGAGCGTGAACCAAATCGGCTTTTGCTCGCGCGAATCCCTCCCCCCTAAAACCAGAGTCACACTCTAGTAAGGTGGGTACACGCGGATGGCGCAAGCCATTCACGTAAAACGGTGTATGTGTCGTGGACGCATGCACCGAGTTGTTGATGGCAAACTCTACCACAGGCAAAAACTCACTCCAACTCTTAAAGGAGTGTACGTATCCTCGAAGTATCTCTTCAAGGACACGATTGGCACGTTCCGTCTGACCATCTGACTCTGGATGATCAGATGTCGACATCTTCAAGCGCGTTCCGAGTGATTTGAACACGGAACGCCAGAAATCAGCAGTGAATCGTGGATCTCTGTCTGATACGAGTTCACGGGGCAACCCATGAAGTCGGAAGATGGTGTCGATAAAGACACAAGCACAGCCACTTGCCGTGATTGTCTCTGGTACAGCCACAAGGTGTACCATTTTGCTGAATCTGTCAACAAATACGAGAATACCCGTATTCCCGCGTGCGTCTTTGGGTAACCCGAAGACGAAATCCATTGAGATGGATTCCCAGCACTCAGCCGGAACCGGTAGAGGCTGTAAAGGTGCACGCAGTGAAGGACTTGACTTCACTCGTTGGCAGACTTCGCATGCGCGAACATACTTTCGCACAAACTGATACTGGCGGGGCCAGTAAAAGTCTCGACTTACCGTGAGATATGTTTTCTCTCGGCCACGATGTCCTCCTATAGGAGCATCGTGATACTCGAACATGATCCGCAAAGGCAGATCAGTATCATCTGGAATGACAACACGTGGTGTGTCACCAGAAACGGCTGTATAATACAGTAAACCGTTACGAGTAGTGTATCGATCTGATGCAGATCGATACGCAGGCGACAATCGTTTCAACGATTCTCGAGATGGTTGGGAGAGATGTGTCAACAACTTCACTATCTCACCATCTTGGGCGTATGCCCGCCTCACATCATCATACAACGTTGTAGATGGGACTGAGGACGTCATAACCACAACAGTGACTGTCTCACTGTTGGGTTTCGCGACTGTTTCAAAGTCGGGACGACGTGAGAGTGCATCAGCGACGACATTAAGTCGTCCTGGTTTGTACTCGACCGTAAAGTTGTATTCTGCAAAGAATGACAACCACCGCGCCATTCGTTGTGAAAGGTGCTGGATGTTTACTGCCGTGCGTAACGACGCATGGTCTGTGTAAACAATGAAGGGTCTATCTCCTAATAGATAGACTCTGAACTTCGCGAGTGCATACTTCATGGCAAGGTGTTCCTTGTCATGCACTGGATAGTTCCACTCAGCTGGTTGCAGCTGACGCGACTGATAGCAGACGACGCGTTCAACGCCTTCAAGATCGTACTGCATTAGTGCACAGCCGATTGCGAAATCGCTGGCATCACAGACCACATGAAATGGCCTGTCCTGATCGGCTATTGCTAGGACTGGGGATTGTATCAAGCTCTGCTTGATACCCTCAAAGAAGCGTTGACATTCAGCGTTCCATAACCACCTCTC